AGGAGACGGGCGTCTCCGGCCTCTACTGCCTCGGCGACGCCTCCACCTCCGGCTTCGAGCTGACGCCCGTCGCGATTGCCGCCGGCCGGCGCCTCGCCGACCGCATCTTTGGCGGCGCGGCCGACGCAAAGTTCGAGTATGCAAACATCGCGACGGCGGACCCCCTCGCCTCGCGGGACGGCGGCAGAGGGCCCGCCCTCGCCACACGCCCCCCGCTGCCGCGCGCAGGTGGTGTTTTCGCACCCGACGATCGGGACGATCGGGCTGACCGAGCCGCAGGCGTGCGCCAACTCGAGACACCTCTCTCGGGGCTCTGGCCTGGGCTTGGCCTGGGCTGAGGCGCCCAACTCCCACCGCCGAGCAGGCGCGCGAGGCGTACGGCGACGCGAACGTCAAGGCGTACAAGTCGGTCTTCAAGCCGATGCACTTTGCGCTGTGCGAGGAGGAGGCCAAGAAGCCGATGGCGATGAAGCTCGTCTGCGCCGGCGAGGAGGAGCGCGTCGTCGGCCTCCACGTGATCGGCATCGCGGCGGACGAGATGCTGCAGGGCTTTGCCGTGGCCGTCAAGATGGGCGCCACCAAGGTGCGCCGGGAGATGCGGGGAGAGATGCGGAGAGGTGCGGAGATGGGGAGAGATAGGCGACACCAAGGTGCGCCGGCAAGAGTTACGAGCCGAGACAGGCCAGGGGGCGGCTCCAACGTCCTCTCCCTCCCCCCTCCCCTCCCCGCCCCTTCTCTGACGACATCGCCGCTCCTCGGGCCGCGCAGGCGGACTTTGACCACGCCTGCGCCATCCACCCGACGGCCGCGGAGGAGTTTGTGACGATGGGGCCGTGGGGCGCCAAGCCGGATGGGCAGGGCGGCATCGTCCCCACGCCCGTGCCCAAGGGGAGGTGAGGCGAAATGCCCCACCCCCCTGCGCGCGGGCCTTCTAAGCCCGCGGGTAGTCCCCCCCCATCCCCAGGGCCTCCAGGGCTCGCACCTCAACCTCTCACAGGCCAGCGCACCGCGCCATACGAGGTATTTTCTTCTCAATAATAACAAGGCTGTGACGAATCCCGCTCCGCTTGAGGCCTTGGCCGCGATACACGCTGCAGCACACACGTGACGGCCCCCCTCGTGCCCATTTCGCGCACTCCTCGCGGCCGCGCCCACCGCCTTCTCCGCACCCACCGCCATCTCCGCGCCCACCGCCTTCTCCGCGCGCGGCCCGAGCGCCCACCCCCTTCTCCTCCTCCCGCCCTGGCATTGAGTGTGCGACTGGCCTGCGGCGCGAGACGTTGCGCCACATGTACAGTGGTAAGCTGTTCCTGGGCACTCTCTCGTTCTCTCCCCCCATAGCCTTTGCGCCAAGCCTTGCGCCCAAGCGCCACTCACACTGTTCATAGAGCGCACTCAGAGTCTCTGTCCCACTCACTTTCGCTGTTCTGAGAACAGCACACACGTTGGTCGTTGCCGCGCGGCCCCCGCACCGCACGGAGCCACGGGACGCATCGGGGGACAAGTCACCAAAATTGCCGGCGGGCGGCGGGGGGGCCCGCCCCCAAATTGAAAACGAGGATCCGGTCCATCGCACAACCGAATTGTTTTTGAGGCGAACTTAAAAGCCGACCACAGCCGGGTTCACGGCGCAAAAAGAATTTACATTGGGGG